AACACCAGTCGCCAACGCCACCACGGGCCAGCGGAGGGACCAAGGCACCCGCAGCATGGGAGCCAGCCAGAGCTCCATACCCAGACCGGCGCAAGACCAAGGCGCAGCCGGAGGGGCCCCAACCGAGCAAAGCTACAGCTAAGCCAACGAAAAACAAGAATGACAGCCCGCCTGGGATGAGAGTCTTAAGGAGTAAGACCCTCACAAGCCACAAACACCTGCGGAAGAGAGCAAAGCACCCACGGAAGCGTCGAAGTGCTGCCCTACGCAGCCACACACCGGGAAAGGACCAGGCCCCAAAACGGCGACGGGTCCGTGAAATGGTGGTACCGGCTCTCACAGAGTCTCAGGGCAGGAAGGGTGCCCCACCTGTAATACACAGAGAAGCCCATGTGAACGCAGAGGTCCCGAGGCGCGGATGGGGGGGCTCACTGACATCCACCCCACACCTGTACTCACAGCCTCCAGACGGGGCATCGGATGATCTATTACTCAGCAGCTCCCAGGGACTATGTGGCAACGAAAAGCTGAGGCGTTGGCTGACCGTGCAAATTGTTCCCGAGCACGGTACCCATGCCACCCGCTAGGACATGCAACAACAGCTCAATCCGTCTGTACCCAGACAAACAAAGCTGTTGACTATGTGCTTAAATTTTGTTTTTGTTTTTTCTTTTTTATGTTTTTAGTTGCCTGCCTATGCCAATACATGCTATATTACAAGAGAGGCGTTATATGACTCCAGCTAGCATGTTATACGATTCCAGCCAGCATGTTACACAACTCCAGCCAGCAATAGAGAGCCTAGCATAGCCTATACAACTAGACACTAGCTCCACTGAACTCACTCAGGCTAGCAAACACATCAGTGAGTCAGGTATTAAACCTGCTAATAGCTTGGTTTTTATCTATCTACATAACCTGTGACGGTGTACCTAACCTGTTATTATACTCCTAGCCAGCATGTTATGTGATTAAATCAGCGTCCGCAAGTCTAGCATGATCTACACATAT